CTCAAAGTACATTTCAAGAGCAGCACGCTTTCTGGAGATGATCTTAAATGCTAGACAAGAATATATAATTGTTTGTTCTATGGATGTATTACTTTTGATATTCAAAGGCACTGGATGATATTAGTTCAGAGTTCTGTTTCCTGTAATGAAAAAAACAAAAACAAAAACTTGTATGGTATATGAGAGGAAAAGAGAGAGAGAGAGAGAGAGAGAGAGAGAGACCGAGATAGACAGAGACAGAGAGAGGGTGGGGGGGGGCTGAGGACAATGTTTTTTATCGCTCTTCAAAAAATGTGCTGATTTATTCAATTCTCCAACTTGAATACTTACCACTTTCTCACCACTGTCTCACCACGTCTCACCACTGTCTTACCACGGTCTCACCACTTTCTCACCCCTATCTCACCCCTGTCTCACCACGGTCTTACCACGTCTCACCACTGTCTCACCGCGGTCTCACCACCGTCTCGCCACTGTCTCACCACTGTCTCACAACTGTCTCGCCGTTGTCTCACCACTGTCTCACCACTTCCTTCAAGCGTGACTCTATCAACATGCGCATCCCTGAACAAGCCCGCTCACAGGGGGACTTTGGTGTCTCCGGCTTTGAGGACATCATCAGGAGGTCAACGTCGGTGCACAATGCCTGGGCCGGGACGGTCATTGGACTGGTCACGGCTGGCGAGGACTCACAGGTAGAGTTACTCGGATTTTTTGTTTTCGTTTTTTGTTTGTTTGTTTGTTCAGAATCAGAGCAACCTTGAAAACTGTGATTGCCTTAATAGAGAAATGCAACTATTTGGTTCCATAAAACATATACTATTGCCATTAGAGCCTAAACGATAGATTCAATTTTTAATATCTATGTTGTTTTGTCCGGTGTCCGGTTTTAAACTGGAGTGTAAAGTCAGCAGATTGTAAAGGACTATAAGGACTATCTTTTAAACATCGAAATATAATCCGGACGTATATGTGAGGGAATGATTGGGGGGGGGGCAATGAGGTATCTGGCAACACTGACATATTTAAAAGCCCTAACGCCTTTAGCAAGGGTAACGAATCTGGCAGCCCTAACGTATCTGGCAACCCCAACGTATCTGGCTTCAATAACGTATCTGGCAACCCCAACGTATCTGGCTTCAATAACGTATCTGGAAACCTTGACTATGTGGCAACCTTAACGTATCTGGAAACCTTGACTATCTGGCAACCTTAACGTATCTGGAAACCTTGACTATCTGGCAACCTTAACGTATCTGGAAACCTTGACTATCTGGCAACCTTAAAGTTTCTGGAAACCTAGACTATCTGGCAACCTTAACGTATCTGGAAACCTTGACGTATCTGGCAACCTTAACGTATCTGGCGACCTTGACGTATCTGGCAACCTTGACGTATCTGAAAACCTTGACGTATCTGGCAACCTTGACGTATCTGGCAACCTTGACGTATGTGGCAACCCCTAGTGCAGGGACGTGTGGAAGCGGGTCCCAAATTTATACTCTTAAATTGTCTTTAAAGATTTTGAGCTATAAAACAAAATCAAGTTAAGATGTTGATTAAAAATCAGTATATTTCAATAATAAATGCTAATTTTCAAACATTAGCTTTCGTTTGCTTTCGACTTCTTAAAGCCACCTTCCATTATGTAAAAGAAAAAAATGTAACAACGTTAAGTTATAGTTATTTTTTTACATCAATTTATTTTATTTAAAATTTTACTTTCCTGGACTTCAAAGCTGCAAACCTGTCAAACAATTGATCAAAATCAATATCCTTCAACATGGGCGCCCGCAGGTAGGGGCAATGTGGGGCACTTGCCCCCCCCCCCCCCCCAATTAAAGTATAGAGAAAAAAAAGGGCAAGTAACTAAGCTGATGTCCTGTCCGTTCGTTCACCATACAAATACGCTACAGTAAATTAAAACTGTATTAAAACATTACTAAAAAAAATGTGCCCCCCCCCCCTGGAAAGTTAATCGATTTTTGCCCCCCCCCGCCCCCCACCCCCCTAGAAAGTTTTCTGCGGGTGCCCATGGCCCGATCAGAAAACCTTGAATATTTCATGGTGGATCGTAAATAATTCTTGATACGCCTTAGTTTTGAAAAGCACCCATGAAGACACACACACACACAGATCGTAAGAAAGATTTGAAGGCTTGGCGAGAGTATTGCAGAGATTTTTAGGAATTCCCATTCAGCTATGAATTTCAAAGCATCACATACTGACTACTCCATGAATTTGTGAAATTCATTATCAGCTGCCTGTAGGAGTCTTCCTAAGCCTTGGTATTTCTTTTAAAAGTTCATCTTCTGATAACTCATCATAGAAAGAGGTTCATTTTGGAACGGACACCAATGACTATTTTTCCCTAGCTGATAGTAGACTCTTGAGTTGAACAGCGCCAAACATATCTGTTACTTCATTGATCGCTGATAATCTAATATAGGGTGTAGAATGAAAGTAATCATTACACTACAGTATCTCCTTATATTCTCTCTATTGAAATTCCATATCGGTCTGATGTTAAGAGAAACTTTTCAATAGCATGTTCCACCAAGTGACAGTGCTTCTCGTGCAGAAATGATCTTAAGGCCTCTAGGTTGGTCACCACTTTGACAAGAATAAAGCCCTTTAGTCTGCAGATACTGCTGTGTAAGATTAACTTCCTCAAGTGGATCAGCCTAAAGGTAAAGGTAGCAGATAAACGTGAAATTGCAGACAGCATGTAAAAGACGTTGCGCTGTAGGACAGCATGTAAAAGACGTTGCGCTGTATGACAATCTTACTCAAATGTTAAGGGGCAGTTCTTGTGACGAATCGACGAAAATACTACATTTTTTTAGTATTTCTGGTATATTGTATTTTTTTTAATGTCATGATTATGTCTCTTTTGATAAAATTTTTATGTACAGCGCGGTGAGTCCAGCCCTAGGCTGGGGTACCGCGCTATATAAGACGTCTTATTATTATTATATTTGGTTTTATAAACTTTTTTTTTTTTTTTTTAGAATTTATTTTAATAGGTTTAAATTAAATTAATAAGGAAATAAGAAAAGTGTGACAAATATTATTTTTTAAGGCCTATAAATGTGTAAAAAGTCATTTTTAAGATGTTTTACCCTTTTACCGATTAAATTGATGTACTTAGAATAGCCTGATCACATCGTATTTAATATCAATGGAAAGCTTTATTTTTTTTAAAAAAAAGCTATATATCGCTTCCTATCACTTACGACAGTTACCGAAGACTTCGACCGGCGCTACATCATGATACAAACGGTGTTTTTCTGACCTAATTATTGGTTCACCTCATTTCTAACGCATCATCCTTGAATTCTAAATAAAGCACTCATTTGGACTGGTTATATGTGTGAAAAATTTTAGCTTGACCGGTTTCCCTTTAATGAAATTCGATTAGACCGAGCAGTTTGTGCTCTGTAAATATGCAATTTTGCCATTCGGTGTCACCCCCCTTTAGTGATGGCTGCCCGCGCTAACTTTAGTGATGGCTACCCGTGCTAACTTTAGTGAGAGCTACCCGCGCTAACTTTAGTGATGGCTACCCGTGCTAACTTTAGTGATGGCTGCCCGTGCTAACTTTAGTGATGGCTACCCGTGCTAACTTTAGTGAGAGCTGCCCGTGCTAACTTTAGTGATGGCTACCCGTGCTAACTTTAATTAGTGAGAGCTACCCGCGCTTACTTTAGTGATGGCTACCCGTGCTAACTTTAGTGATGGCTGCCCGTGCTAACTTTAGTGATGGCTACCCGTGCTAACTTTAGTGAGAGCTGCCCGCGCTAACTTTAGTGATGGCTACCCGTGCTAACTTTAGTGATGGCTGCCCGTGCTAACTTTAGTGATGGCTGCCCGTGCTAACTTTAGTGATAGCTACCCGTGCTAACTTTAGTGATGGCTACCCGTGCTAACTTTATTGAGAGCTGCACGTATTAATTTTCTACTGTATCATTAAAACGTGTAATGTTTTGACACAGGGCATGAATCCGGTGATCAGGGCTGTTGTCCGAATGGCCTGTTACCTGGGCTGTTCCGTCATGTACATCAAGAACGGGTTCAAGGGCATGGTGGACGGCGGGGCCAACTTCACAGAAGCCACATGGGTCAGCACCTCACATCTCGCCGGAAACGCCGGGACGATTCTTAAGACGTGAGTATATATCTTTGGGCATTCTTGGATGATTCTTAAGACGTGAGTATATCTCTTTGGGCATGCTTGGATGATTCTTAAGACGTGAGTATATCTCTTTGGGCATGCTTGGATGATTCTTAAGACGTGAGTATATCTCTTTGGACATGCTTGGATGATTCTTAAGACGTGAGCATATCTCTTTGGGCATGCTTGGATGATTCTTAAGACGTGAGCATATCTCTTTGGACATGCTTGGATGATTATTAAGACGTGAGCATATCTCTTTGGACATACTTGGATGATTCTTAAAACAAGCCACTGATCCTTGGACAGGCTTAGACAACTATGCAATTATTAAAACAAGCATTGGCGTTTAAAAATGTATCGCTCATAGGACAGGATTGTCGATTTATTGAAAAAGCCCGTGTTCCTTGACGGACTAGGACGTTAAAAAAAAAAATTTGTCCTTGGAAGGGATCGGATGATTTAAAAAAAAAAGAGACACATTTGTGTCGGGACAGGCATAGAGTCAAGACGATTATTAAGTACTGGTCTCTGGAATGAGCACATTGCTGTCTGCTTTGTTTTGATGTTGTCATAAACTCAGGTACGCTCTTGATCCTTTCATCATTTTTCCGATTTCAAAGATTACAGTGCACCAGATCCAAACAACTCATTCCAAAGCCAATTGTCTATGAAGACAATTTATAAAATTGATTCAAACATAACATCTTTAGGAGCTGACTATATTCTGCTTAATCGATAGCATTAAAAAAAAAAAGAATTCCATGTGCATGTGCACTAAATTATGTCATTGTTTTATTATTTTAAAGACCCAACATATTTCAGGTCCAAATGCCCGGAATTCGCAGAGCGGAGAACCCGACTGAAGGCCGCTAAAAATCTCGTGGAGATGGGCATATCTCACATGATTGCCATTGGCGGAGACGGAACTTTGAAAGGTTCACTCTAAATTTTCTTGTTGACAAACTTTTTTTTTCTTTTTAGCGATCATTTTTCTTTTCAAAGTGATCTATTTTTAACTTTAGATGGGAAAACGGGGAAACCCCCGGTTTAAAAAAAAAATGTGTCTTCCCCCTACCCCCATGTTACTAAAATGTCAAAATGGGCTTTGAAAATACTTCCTTGGTCCCCATCAACCTGTCGACGCTCCTGGAGGGAAACGGTGTTTATAAGTAAAGTTCACTTTGCAAAGATAAGGTATATTTTGAAACGATCTCATCGGGGATGGAAATGCCATTCTAATGTGGAAAAAAAAACAACAAACAAACAAACAAACAAACAAAGAACATATTACTATATCTCTAGGTATAGAATTAGAATAGTTTTTGAGTCATGCTTTTTAGTAATTAAATGTAAAAGTCAATTGAACCCGTGCTAAACTAAGCTGGTCCAGTTTACTCTTATCAAAGCACGGAAATCAAACGGTAATCCCTTCCATTTGTTTGTTTGTTTGTTTGTTTAGTTTATTTAGTTTGTTTTCTTGGGGCTGTGTTAGTAAATGTGCGTTCTCCATCTCTCCACACCATAAAGGTAGTCACGTGCTTCAGATGGAGTGGATCACTAACTTGCGTTGTTATTAACTTATGTGTTTTTTCTATCGCTCCCCACCAAAAAGGGTGTTCACGTGCTTCACACAGAATGGATCACTTTGTTGCGGTGTTTATTAAATGCGCTTTCTCTATTTCTCCATTCCTTCTACACCAAAAAAGGTATTCACGTGCTTCAGACGGAGTGGATCAGTTTGTTGCGAGACCTTGACGAGCAGCACCTGGTGAACAAGGAAAAACTCCAAGCGTAACACACCTGTTCCTTGTCTGCACATGTCCACGGCGTGCTTATCGGTCCCATTTTTCATTAGTGTAACCAGGGGCGTCATCTGGGTAGGGCGGGGTGGGGCATTTGCCCCCCCCCCCATTTGGCAGGTTTTATTTAAATTGATGTGTACTGTGGCGCCTCCGGTAATAAACAACTTAACAAGCCGACCAAGTTTTGGAGCTTATCGGTCCCATTTTTCATTAGTGTAACCAGGGGCGTCATCTGGGTAGGGCGGGGTGGGGCATTTGCCCCCCCCCCCTTTGGCAGGTTTTATTTAAATTGATGTGTACTTTGGCGCCTCCGGTAATAAAAAACTTAACAAGCCGACCAAGTTTTGGTTTTGCCCCCCCCCCCCCTCCTGAAAAAAAAACCTGAAATGACGCCCTTAGTTGTAACATCATAAATTATCCAACGTAACTTCATCAACAAAAAAACATGCGATTACCGACAAATATCGCTATGCTAAACAGTGGTTCTTATCCTGGGATACATGGACCTTTTGAAAGTTTCATAGGTCTTGAATCGTAAATGAACTGTATCGAAAGCTGAAAACTTTCAACAACTTAAAAACACATTCAAGATTTTTGTGGTTTGCAGCTTCATCATCTTATTTAGATTGATCTATGACCCCGACAATATGACCCCCCCCCCCCCCCCCCCCGTATATCAACAGCTAGTTTCACCCGCCGTAAATGACAGAAAAAATGCATGAAGTCCTGAGGAAATATTATGTAAACTATTTATTAGAAATGTTTAATATAAACATATTTTAGGTAAGTACTTTGGGAAGGTTTCTTTATCATTTCCTCTGCCTGAGTATTTAAAGAGGAAAAAATGCTCTTTTAAATAGCCAGCCTTGTTAAACTCGTATTGAAGAAGTTCATCCAAGGTCATCCAAAAATATAAGAAAACATTGTAAGATCAATGAATAAAAAAGTTTCAGCAATTCAAAATTAAATAAATAACAAATGACCTACCGGAGGGTCGATGCATGAAATCTTCTTGAAATTTAACAACCCCCTAAATACAACATTTTTCTTACAAATTCTTAAAAAAATAAAATATTGATAAATGGTAAGTGGGGCTAAACATTTGACAAAACATGCATACAAGAAACGCACTTTATAAGAAACGCAATTAGTCCCCCCCCCCTTTTTTTTTTACCAAGGCTCACAACCGCACACATTTGTCCACGCCCCTGAACTCTATTAATATTCTAATGACCCGCCCACTTTTACACCGCAGATTTATTT